ATTTATATTATTATAAATTTTTATTTGAGTTTTATTTCTTTTTTCAATCTGTTTTCTTTTTTAATTTTAATTTTTCTTTTATTTCTTGATTTATATTTCTGTTTTTTATTTATATATTTATTCTCTTTTATTTTCTTATTTATAATAAGTAATTTAGATTTTTTTTCTTTATTATAATAGTAATAGATACAGAATTCTAGATATATTTTTATTTATATTTTATTTTTTGCTTATAATTTCTGTACTTTTTCTTTATAACTTCTTTTTATAATGCAAATAGATTATTTTATACTTACTTATATTTAATTTTAATAGGAAAATACTTATAATAATATGTTATAATAAATTTTATATACATTAAAAATTTAAAATTAGTTTAATTTTGTTTTTCAATTATGAAATTATAGAAAAATTTGATTAAATATAAAAAATATTGAAATTACTTATATTAAAAATATTAAGATATTTATTTATAATACACAGTGGCTCTCTTTATAGTGGACCTCCTTTACAGTGGAGACTAATTAAAATCACGCTATAGTGGATAAAGGTTCAAAACCATCTATAATAAATTCTACCCGATATAGTGTATTTACTAATAAATTTTCAAAAACTCTCGATATAGTGGATTTTTGAGAATTTTTTACTAATAGATTTTTTTGATACACTATAAAGAGAGTTACTGTGTACTTATATTAAAAAGAAATAATTAATCTACTTATATATAATTAATATAAAAAAGTTCTTATCAAAAGAAATATATATTATCAAATTCTTCAAGAAATATTTTTGTGATTATAAAGAGTAAAATATTTTAGTTTAATTATAATAAATAATATAAAAAACAGATTATCATCTGAAAACAGAGAACATGATTATGATTCTTACTATATGCAGTTTGCAATGAATCAGTAAAGAAATACTCTTCTAATATATAAGTAATGAAGATATTATTAAGAATATTGGATATATTAACTATTAAGAAGATGAAAAAAGCATCGGCTACTGAAATATTCCTAGCAAATTATTCTCAAACATCATTTACAAATAGATTCTTAATATAAAAAAATTATGTAAAGAATATCTAATTCTGATACCAGTGATTTTTTATGTATTTAACATTTTATTTGAATAATACATTATTTCAAACAAAATTCCAGCGTTTCAAGAAAAAATATCACTTTTTTTTATACTTATTTGAAAATATAACTTGAAAATAAAACTATCATTATTTAATAATTAAATATGACATGGTTACTAAAATTAGAAAATAAAAATTTAAGTCGTGAAAATATCTTTAAAATATGTGATAATTTCAAATCTGAAATATAATAAATATATAGAAATTATGAAAAATGTCATTTGGTATAATCTTACAAGCTTATAGAATTAATGATTCCTTTATTATTATTGTAAAAATATTCGTCACAATAATTTATAAAAGAGTAATCAGTTCAATCTACATGCAAAACGTTGTACATGTATTTGAAAATAAAAATGCGAAATCAAGTTCTTTAATTTTAGTCTATATCGTCATTTCTTATCTGCGGTGAACGGATCAGATTCTAAGGATATATATGAACTGATTTGTGAGAAAATTAGACATCAATAATGTACATGTAATCTTGCATTATAAATTAGCTTAATAAAAATTCAGTTTATTACATCACTTGACTATAAAGTCTATAATTGAAAAATATATGCATGTATATAATACACGCACTTTTAGCACGCAAGTTTTGATTCTAAAAAAAATTATAAAGAATATCAAAGTTATCACCAAATTCTTTACGTGCTTGGTTTTTAGATAAAGACGACGTTTTAATATTACAATATCTTTTGAAGAGAACAATAATATAGTTTATTTATTTTAAAATTCCAAGTTGTGTTCTACAATTGAGAATAAAATTCAATTTCTATCGCGATTTCTTATTGTCTCATATCCATAATAAATATTTTACCAAATTACATCTACGTTAATGTTGTCATTATGACGAAATCCTGGACCGTGCACTCGCTTCATTTCTTTTGGCGAATACCCCCGCTAAAATACGCTAAATGATAATGGTCAAATGGTGTTAAAATTATCAACAACTTTGTTCATCATATTGGGAAAACAAATTCATAAAACTTAAGACTCATGCAATGGTATCGATAGTCATGTTGCTTTATATTATTTTGGAATACAAGACAATACGTAATAGGTGATTATTTCATTCGTTTTAACTGAAAATCATGTTTTTGATCAATTACTACATGTATATGGCGGTCATAACTTTTATGGCTTGGAGAAACTTTTTAATTTCATGTGTCAAATTACCAATGATAAAAATTACCTTATGTAGAACAGAAGAAAGCGTACAGATACAGTATGCGATTTATTTGTAGTTACTAAATATTGTAAATGTTTACAAAAGTTTACTGAATCGTCGCGTCGGCTTTGTGTTTTAAGGGGTAAAAAATCATCATAAAACGAGTTTTTCTTTGATATAATGATCATTTTTTGTATTAACTTGTGTAAGACGTATGATCTATTTTAATCTCGTGGTATGGGTATTTAAAATTAATCAATTTATCGGTGGCTTTTAATAATTATTAGCCTTATTAACGATAGTACAAAAAAAGGAAAACTACCATTCATTTTATTAGTGGCGCGTATTTCTCTGTAAGTACATGAAAGGAAATAAAATAACAATGATAAACTACTTTATATAGCTAAAATGTTTTGAATTTCTCACGGAAATTTTCAATTGAAATTTATAATCTTGTATATGGTTTCAAAATAATAGAAATAACAAATCAACATAAAAAATAATGTATATTGATTTAATAAGAAGCAACCAATGATTTGTCGCGTCGTAATTGATTTGATTTGGTGGTGGTGATGATTGTTGAGTGCTCTTGATTTCCCGTTTTACTTTCACTCTATTTTTGCTGAATATAAACGAACAATAAGTCAAGTGTGTGATTAGGCAAAGCATCAATTGGAAAATTTGAATCAATATATTAATCTAAATTTCTTGGTCACGAGAAAGATAGCTACGCAATTGTGACTTCATTTATAAACATTACATTATAGACATTAAAAGGGAGTTTAGCCAACAAGAAATATTATATTATAACATTAAGGAAGGCTAGCCAACTGCATTATCGACATTGAGAAAATTTCGGTCAACAAAAAAAACTATTCCATTACGGACATTAAAAAAGTTTAGTCCACCAGGAAAAACATTCCATTATCAACATTAAAAACATTTAACCAGCAATAAAAAATAAGATTCTTTCAGGAAATTCTATTATAATTTACTGTAGTTATTCCGTAATTATTTCAGCGCGCGCGCTAAACTCAATACATAAAAGAAATAATGAAACAAATTTTCGTCATACGTGTACATGTAAATGGATAGATATTAATTAATACATGTACACCTAGATAGAGTATAGGTAAGAATTATTATTCAACATGTACATGTATTAGGATTACATGTATTTGTAAACTGCTGAATCTCGGTTTTTGCGTATACATGACATCTACATGTATCACCTATTATCTTTTTTACACTAATACGACGACGTATTCGTCTTAATATATTATTTAAGAATGCATGCAGGAATAATTTTATGAAAAGTGACGAATCAATTTGTTATATTGTTAAAAATATTTCGGTTACTAAGAGGAACAAAAACTCACTAAACAATAGAATCGATAAATGCTATCAAGTCCAAAACTTAAAATCAGTTGATACCCTTTTGGCTTTGTCTAATAATTATTATAATGTTGCATTAACAACTTCCAACCTATCATCTGTCATATAGTAATTCACTTATTATACTTTTTTAATTAGCGAAGGTTACACTTTTCGCAATCACGATGACAATAACTATAAAGATAACTATTGCAAATTATAATGAACACCACACTTAAAAAGGTAACACATATTCTTCTCTTCTTCTGCACATCTTAGCACAAAGATTTCGTATATCAATATGTATATATGCGCATCACTTTACCATGTGCATTGTTTCGCATTCTTTTTAGTGCTCAATGAATCCTTATGCGTATAACAAAGACTAAGAAAACAATAAAATATAATATATACTATATCCAATAATAATTTCGTTATACCTATATTACCGGCCGTTTTACTCGTCGTATGTATCCTTACGTAAATTAGATTTCTGATCTAAATTACTTGTCTAACGCTAACCAATTATTTCTGTAACGAGTTCAACTCACGTGAAGTACAGTAAATGTATAGTTACAATATATATATATATATATATAAATTTACTTACTAATATTTGAAAATGGGAACATCAGATTTACATGACAAAAAAGAGTAAGAAAGGCAACACAAAAACAATGAAACGGCTGAATATAAAGAGTAAAAGAAATTTTGAATGGTTTTTTGTTTGTGTTTTGTGCAGAATCTTTGTTACATTTAATAATTAATAAATTTTTTATTAAAAGTAGAGATAATTCTCAAATTCATCTCACAAACAACAAAGAATTTTTTGTTGTTTGCGGTTGTTTTCACACTCTTTATTCCCTATCGCTATTATTTCCATTCTCTTTAATTTTCCTTCCTTTTTCCCGCGAAAAATAACAATAGTCCTACCCCAAAGACAATAAACGTAACCACGAAATAACTCTCGTTATTGTGTTGTTGTTACAAAAGCTTATTTCTTTGAGGCTATTTATATAGATTGGTGAAAACCTTTCTAAAAAAATATTTGATTTGGGATCGCTTTTTCGATCAAGGTCATTCTTCTTAGAGAAAACGAGTTATCATATTATACAGAGTATAATTACATTTGACCTGTCGGAATTCTTAGTATTTTCTCTCATTACCTCTATAAAAACCATCGCATTTTGATTTGGGAGAAAAATCGTTTAGCTAGTTTGCAATCTTCTCTCGTTAACTCAAATATCATTCTTGAAAGCTGGCGTCGATTATAAGACAACGTTTATATTAGTTAATCAAAATTTCGGAGTTGCAATGAATTTCGAAACGCATGAACAACAAATTCAAACAATTTTATTCACGTCGACGCGTTTAACGAATTCAGTTTCATCAACATTCGTCTCCGTTTGGATTATTCTACATTTTCTATCTGAAATACGACATCTGCAAACAGCTCCACAACTGGTTCAAGGACAAAAAATAGCTAAGAAGTGGACTCAAATAAGTAGTCGAGGTGTATCTTTAAGTTGTATATTACTCTCATTAACATTTGAAATAGCAGCAGATTGGAGCACAGTTATTGGTGAACCAACAGATAACAATAACACCTTCACATCAACATTATGGACACTTTCTTTAGCATTAAAATCTTCAGCAATCTTTACCACTTTATCATGGCACTACACTCTCACCACTTCCCTTTCCAAAGAGCCAATAATTTCGCGGAGAGAATATCAATTTTATGGATATTTCAATGGATTTAGTTTTCTTGCTGCTTACCCAATAATCGAGTTTTTATGCGTGTTGCGTGCCGAAACGATATGTGACGCGATGATTGCAGCGCAGCTGTTTTATGTTTCGCAGATGATTATTGCGACTTTTTTTTTCTGCAAGTTAAATCGGCAAATGAAGGTTGTGTTGACCGAGGGACTGTTGGTTGGTAGAAAGGCCATTCGCGAAATGCGACGATTTCGAATGCGAAATTGGTACTTAATAAGTTTTTTGTCACTGGAAATCATAGGACTATTGACTAGTAATATTGATCAATTATACGGAAAAACAATTTCCACGAAGTCTATCGCGTTATCGACAATTATCCATTCAATTATAAATCTCAGCTCGAATTTGGCCTTTGTAGCTGCCACATTAATTCTTTATCCGCCACATGACTACACACCACTACTTGTATTACCAACTCCAACAAACATAACAATACACGAAAAACGAGAATCACAAGGATATTTCTCACCAAACCCCATAACTATGTCAACCAGATGCAATTGGCACTTTAATCGATTCAATGGCAGCAGCAACAACAATAATAATTTCAATAGCAATAATGATTCTCGCATTTCGATGTTCTCTATAAACGCAAAACAAATTCGACCAGTGGTGGTTCCGGAAGAATATGATGGCGACGACATATTATCGGATGAAGAATTTTGTGTGGGGAGCGAAGGGTCTGAGCATAGACTATATGGAAACAATAATGGCGATGATTTGAAGCAACCGGAAGCAGCATTAGTGATGACGCTGAACCGAGAAAGAAACGAGTTTTCTTCGTCGGGGATTACATTATAAGGAAATAAGTTTTCTACATATCTGTTTATATCATATTACATAATATTGCATAGATTTTATAAATACATTCTTCTAAACTTCACATATTCAACATTGTAAACCTTTTTGTCACCTTTTAAACCTTGTACATACTCTTTCACACTACTATTGCAAACGCACGATTTACATATTGATCAAGTCAAATTTAACATACTTTCATGTAATAGATTTTCTCATATCAAATATTAATTAATCATTCGTATTCTACTTATTCTGTAAACAAGAGATGGAAAAAAAAATAACAATAATTCTTTTGCTCGCTGATATACGTGAACATGTAATTGTAATTGACGCGTGTGAAATGGTAGTCATGCCCGAGCTAACTTTTCCGAGGGCGTAATATGGGTTTTACCCCTGATATAAGCCACAAACCACAAATACACGTTATTTTTGTGGCTGTGATGTAGCTCAATGTTTATTGCCGATCTGTCATCTTAACCAATCAAATTGCTAAATTCAAGACATAACGTAAAATTTATAAAAATTTCTTTTTTTAAAAAGCTTGTATCTCGAAATTTTGCTTATGAAACTGTACTTTGTGCTCTATCAAAAATTATTTCTTGTGGAATTTTACCTATATAAGAAATCTTTTGTTAAATAATTCTAATAATGAATTAAATTGAACTTTTACTTAATATTATTTTTATTTTTTTATTAAAATTAACAAGCTTTTTTTGGGATTAAAATATCAATATTATACAGAAAAGTACATTTATCTAAAGCAAAATTTCACATAGTAATAGAATAATTTTTAATTGAATATAAAAAAAGTTTTATAAATAAAATTCAATAATAGATTAATAATAAATATTTAGTTATATTATAATTATAAAAGTTATATTTCTGAGCTTTTTTGTTGATTATACTAAAGAAGTTAAAAAAATATATTAATCAAATAACAGAATTAATATAATAAAAAAATTCAAAATAAATATAAAAAATAAAAATAATTATATCTTGAAATTTCATTTATAAAATTACTTTCTATACTTTAATAAAAATATTCTTTATGAAATTTTACTTTATATACTTTGCTTATATAATAAATATAATTATAATTGATTTTAATTCTAATCTTAATAAAAATATTATTATTTTATATCTGATGATTTAATTAGTTTATCTTTTAAAAATTATATAATCTGTAATTTTTCATTAGAATATTTACAAAAAAGATATTAGATTATATAATTTTTTAGAAACTAAATTAAAAAATATAAAATATTAATAATATTTTTATTAAATTAAATTGAAACTAAAATTAAAATTAAGAATATATATATTAATATATATTTTTTAAAATAAAAATTCATAAAATTTTTTATTAAAATATAAAAAGTAATTTTATAAATAATTCTTAAGATATAATATATATAAATTAGTATAAAAAGATTTATATCTTAATATAAAAATCAATAATTATTTCTAAGAAAAATTATTCAAATTTTAATTAATCTTTATAATTTTTTATATTAAATAAAAAATAATCTAAATTAACTTTTTATAC